GAGCTGGCTCTTCAAAAATAAGAGCCTGCTCTTCTCCGTTCCTTCATCTCCTTCACGTCCGACTTGATTCTGTTGATCCGACTTCCATTCCTAAGGCACTTGGATGTTCAAATTGGGTTCCACTGATTCCAGAATCCATTAAATTCTTTGTTCAATTACCAAAATTAATTTAAAGCATAAACTTTGTAACAAGAATTTAATACTAGCAGTTTATGCAATCCCGAACCCCAACTGTTTTAACACATCAAACTTGCAATCTAAATAAATTTCAGTGATTCCCAACATAATACAGAATTAATTAAAATTATTACTCATCAATTTCCATGAATTAACATAAATTACAACAACAAAGGACTTAAAACAACCATTAAACAACTTAGAAACACAATCAGTTTTAAGCATTCAGGATATGCAATACAGTTCAATTTAAATCCTTATTAAATCCTGGAATTGTATTAGTTGTGTAAAGAACACGAGCCTAAGGGAAAGAGATAGGATTAGAACTTGCCTTTGAGACTTTTGTTCAAAATCTCTCCATCGTCTTCTAAGGTTCCGGCAATTCCTACTGCAAAATTCCTCCTTTGTTCTCTCTCTGCCTCCACAGGCGTGTATAGGTTTTACTTTTCTTAAAACCCTAAGCAGACTTATCTTATATATTTATAGGCAACCAAAAACCTAAATCCAATTATATCCAAAGTCTGAAACTCGGCCCATAAACATAACCTAGTTTATAAACCCTGTCGGCTCATTAAATTAAACCTAAACAGAACTAAAACCCTAACCACACTTTTATACCTAGTCATTAATTAAAACATTTAATTATTAATTCAATTAAAGAAACAATAAAATTCCAAGTTAACGTAAAACAGAAAATAAAATACAATTTAATAACTAATTAATTAATTCACAAACCACCACTAAATAAATAAAAACTAATTAATTAATTCACAATCCACCACGAAATAAATAAAAATAAATAAAGTCACACTTAATCAACAAATTCACAACTAAACAAATAAAAACATAATTTAAATAATTAAATAAATTTCAGAACTATCCTTGTTAAATTAGGGGTATTACAACTAAACCCAAAGCTCGAGCACTGATGTTCGTGCTCGAACACTTACATCCTGAAAGTTTCCAAAAGTTGCGGGAAAGCTACAAAATCACTCTTCTTTGTTTCCATATGGGCCTAATTGTCCCCAAAAGCTGGAGAGCACATCCAAGGGGGGTTTATGACTTGTTCTCTACTATAAAATAAGATAAAAAGACATAAATAAAAGGGCTTGGGATTTTTTGCATTGCTTGGCGGCTTTAGGGTTTGGAAGATTGAAGATTCCACTTGGCGGTCCATGGAAATGGCTTCTACACCAACAATGATGACATTCTTCCTCTCCATGAGTTGCTAAATCATTTCTTAGGGCATTGATATAACCCTCATCCGAGCAACATGGTTTGATTGTTCTTAACATTGGAGATTTTTATAGTTTATGTATATTGATAGCATGATTGTGGGCAATTGACTTAGTATTCCTAAGCAATTGGGTTTTTAATGAATATAATTGGTTTTTGATGAAATTGATCTCGTCTTAGAATTAATTTTGCTTAAATCAAAAATCAAACAATTTTATTGTGAGAGATTGGCGGCTAAGGGTTTCTCTTAACGGTAGAAGTAGTTATCATGCAATGAAGCTTACACGACTATATAAATGAACGTTTTGATAATTTATGCCTAGGGAAGACGTGTTGTATTGCATGGTAAATTAGAGTAGTTAAGTAGACAATTCGTGCCAACCGAAGATGAGTTATGGCTTAGTATTTATTCATATATAACTTCTTAATTGAATCGAAGTGCGTTTGTAGCCACTTGATTTCCAAATATGCGCAAGTGTGAATTCCCCATAGTTGAGACAATTAACCATGTTATGAGGCTAGTGGTGAAGTCAATCCCTAATTTTCCACTTTGATCTAAACCTTTGTTAATTTAGGTTTATTGCAATTTAGAAATTCGAAAACACCAAATCTTCTTTCTCTTGAATCAAATAAAGATTAATTTTATACTTAACAATCCACCATAGTCCTTGAGGTTCGACACCCTCAACATAGCCCTATCCTACAAAGATTCGTTCTATTGCGAGTGATTTTTATTATTGATAATACACACATCAGAGGCGTTCCTTATATTTTGCTTATGATGAATAAGCTTTTGTTATTATTAGAACAGCTAACAGACCAATTACCCTCATTTCACCACTAGTAGGCATCCTTGGAAATCATGTATATACTAAATTGTCAGTTAAGTAACATTTTCAATTCGTTCTTTTATCCAGGATCTCATACCTTCATGTATATATGTAGTCAACAATTACCAAATCAATGAAGGAGTTGCCAAGTGAAGAAATGCATATACCCATCATGAGCTTATTTAGCTTCACTTTTCCTGGCCCTTGCCAATCGGTGTTCTAGTTGATACAGTGTCCAATTCCAGTCACGCAGTCCACACTAGAGACATAAATGCAGAGATCCTCAGGTTTCCATATAGTAATCAAGGTATAATTTACAAAGAAGATGTCGAAAGTGCCCAAGGAAAAATAAAAAGAACAAAAGTTAGTCCACCTTGTTTCGAAATACTTGTGCCTGTTTCACTTCCTTTTCTTGAGTCGTTAAATCTCTCCCCTCAGCAGCTCTTTAAAGATTGGGCTTCAGCATAGTGTAATCAAGTGCTAATAAGACAAACGTGTCAGGTTAGTAATCCGGGATAAAATTTAAATCTAAAAGATTGGAGAAAACATTATTAGTTTCCGCTGTTTATATCTCAATTTGGTGAACTATGGGGTCCTAATCCACAAAGGTTAGTTGCATAACAACTTCAAATGAATTTACTGGTAATCGTTATTGGCTAACATGAATGAATCTCCGTGACCACCAAACGACATGGCCACTTTGTCACACTCTACATTATCTGCACTTCTTATAATGATACTGTGTCACTTGAATGACCCCATAAAAACCCAGGTTTTCTTTTTCAAAACCAAGCTACCATATTTTCCAGAGATTGATGATGTGAGGTACCACATTATGGCACCATCTTATAACCTTTTTCTTTTTGTTGGCACCATTTTAGAAGTTATATTTCTGTATGCAGATTTTAATCAACCATTAATTCATGCATTTCAGGTACATAGCCCAAACTGCTCATGTGATCCACCAAACCATCCACCACTCCAATAATCTCATTTGCTTTGGAGTTTGAACAGACTTCTGCCCAAATCGATAAACTCCATTTCCAATCTCGATCCAGCTGTACCCAGGATCCATTTTTAGCCTTTTATATTTCATCAATTTCCTTACTCGCCACCTGATCCCAATAACACACACTGGCATACAAATTTGCCAATTGCAAGTGGGTAGCAGCACACCATGGTTCCAGTATAAGCCTGTTCGTTGCAGCCTCAATTCCAATCCAAACATTCCCATGACGCCTGCACAAAGAAAGGAGTGAACCCCATATAATGGCATTGGGGTTAACAGGCACCTTTTTTTTATGAAATATCAAGCATCTTCCAAAAATCCAGCTTGACCAAGAAGATCTACAATGCATGAATAGTGGTCTAGTTCCGGTTTCAAACCAAATTTACCCATTGAATTGAAGTAAAGCTGGACTAGTTTAACAAGACCGGCATGGCGACAAGAAGAGAGGATGCCAAGGAAAATAATGGCATCAGATTTCACCCTTTGCTGCTTTATTTGTTTAATAAGATCAATTGCCTCCGATACAAGGCCATGCTGAGCAAACCCCGCAATCATCGAATTCCAAGATACAAGATCTTTAATATGCATGCTTCCAAATACAAAAACTGCATCTTGAACATTCCCGCACTTGCAGTACATCGATATAAGAGCATTAGATATGTTTATATGAACCAAAACACATCTGAATTGTTTGACAGTGAGCACTCCTCCCTGCCCAAGTGACCCACTACCCATGCACGTACTCAAAAGACTAGTAAACGTAAAATCATTGGGTTTCAACGTTGAATTCCTCATCTGACGATAGAGATCTAAGCAAACATCCACCTGCCATTCATGTGCAAACCCAGTTATGATTGTCGTCCATGAGACAACATTTTTCACAGGCATTTCTTCGAACACCCTATGCGCATTGTCCAGCACACCACATTTGCAGTGCAAAGCAATCAAAGAACTCCCAACATAAACATTGGCGATGAACCCAGTTCTAATTACCAGTCAATGAACTTGAATTCCCATTCTAAGCATTCTTGCATACCCACATGAACTTAAAGCATGTGAAAATAGACATGGATCAATTATCAGCCCTTCTATGCAGTCGAAAGAGCATTGAAATCGAATCCTCCCTTGGTTTTAATAAGCAGACTCATGATTACTAACACATTATTCGGTGAAATGATGTGAATTTGTTTGTAAAAAGTCCTGAATGAGTCGAAGATGGCTTTGGCTACTATGTGTGACATTTGCTTTTGGAGCTATTATATCTAGGACTCTCGGGGCTTTATCCAACCTCTTGCTATTTGTTGGGTGCGTTGATTTTTGAGAAGAGAAAGGCTATAGCAAAGTCGTAAGAAAATGGCATATAAACATTGCTTTCTAATACATTGTTTAACGAAAACTGTATCCATTCCTGGGCATAGCCCATTATTCTCCTTGCATATGCCATGTCACAGCGTAACCGTTCAATTATTATTGTTTTTATTATTTTTGCTTTTCTTTTTCCCGGTAAATCAGTATTGTTGTTTTTTTTATTGCTAATAAGGTAGGTTAGTAAATGAGCAATACTGCAGTGTCGTGGCAAGGGTAGCAAAAGACAGTCTAATGACAAGAGTCACTCTCTCTTTATTGGTAACATTTTTGTGTGTGATGAAATAATAATTATTATATATATATATATATATATATATATATATATATATATATTGACTTGGCAAACACAAAAAGCAACAAAAAACACAACAAAAAACACATCAAGACAGACAATCCTTAGCTGCTAAACTACAAATATCAAACAGAATCTGAACAAGTGCCACATCATTTGGTAAATGACTTCGAGACAACGTTGCAAGAGCATGGGCAACGTCATTGCCATGCCTATGAACATAGCTAAGAGAAGATGAGGAAAAGCTCTGAAGCGCCACTTGAACATCAAAAGAAATCGCATTAATTTCCATAGGCCCATGATTAACACCAAACACAGCCTTGACCACAACAAGAGAATCACATTTAAACCAAACATGAGCAAAAGAAAAAGACAAAGCCCATAAAACTGCTCTACGGAAACATTCAGCCTCTACCAATGTCGCACTGGAAGCAGAGAAAGGACTAAACACCACTGCCTGCAAAATTTGCCTCGAAAAGTCGCGAAAGACTTCACCACCACCCCCTAAATGGGCCGAAACAGAAAAGGAAGCATCCACATTACATTTTACAATACCTGAAGGAGGAGGAAACCATCGGGACAAGGAATAAGACACCAACGACCCGGATTTATCTCCAAACAAACTCTTTGGCAAACTCAAATGGAAGGACCTTGAGGCATCCTTGAATTCCTAAAAATAGGAGCATGCCAAATTAACAACCCTTTGCGCATTCCAAACCTTACCATTAAAAACAAGCTTATTATGAGCCTTCCAAATAAACTAGCAGCAACAAGCAACAAACCCCAACACATCCACCCCCTCCTCCAGTCTCCCCCACTGACGAACCAAACCCAACCACCAATCAGCAAAAGAAGAAGGGCAATTAACAAGCAAATCAAACCGTAGCGGTGAAAGCTTCCAAACCTGAACAAAGTGAGGACACCGAAAAAACAAATGCTCAATAGATTCCTCATCCACCTCAACAACAAGGCCATAGCCAAGGAGACATTTTCTAACTGGAAGAGCCACCTTATAACATCTCCAAAGGAAATGCTTAAGCTTAAGCTGGATTTTGTAAGACCAAAGACTATCCCATAACAACTGAGCAACATGATCCGGATGGGAAATCTCCAGAGACCTACCTCCACTACACAATAGATGATAAGCCAAATGATACGCCGATTTCACAGAGAACATACCATTATTCTCACAATTCCAACCCAACACATCCGGTTTAGAGAATAAACTAAAGCTGCATTGAAGAATATGATCAACAATGTCCGGTGGAAACAACTGGTGAAACAATCCCACATTCCATCCCTGGTTGGAATGATCAATCAAGTCAGCCACAAATTGGGGAGCCACAGAAGTAGCGGGTAATGGAAGCGAATGAGACAGGCTAGGAACCTAACGATCCGCCCATATATGAATAGACCTCCCATCTCCCACATTCCATCGAGAACTGGTCGCAATAAGAGATTGAGTAGACCATATACTCCGCCAGGCCTATGAAGGATTAGAGCCCAACTGGGCGTCCAAAAAAGAACAATGGCAAAAATATTTGGCCTTAAACAACTTAAAAGCTAATCCATGCTGAAGTACCTGAAAGTTCCACCCCTGTTTAGCCAACAATGCCGTATTAAATGCTTCGAAAGCCCAGCCCCCCTTCCTCTTTCGACACACATAAAGACTCCCAGGCAACCCAATTAATATTGGGAGAACCATCCGGTTTACCCCATCAGAATCGTCGGACATGTTTCAGAATGGAATGGCATAGATTTCGTGGTAACTTAAAACAAGACATCACATAAGTAGGTAAAGCACCCAACACTACCTTAATTAATACCCCCTAACCAGCAGGATTCAGTAATAGGGATTTCCAAGACGTTAATCTATTAGCAACCCGTTGAACAATGTAATGGAAAACATCCCATTTGGATAGACCAATAATTGCCGGCATACCCAAGTACTTAGCATAAAGATCGTCCTCTTTAATTTCCAACAATTGTCCTATCCTGGACTTATCCTCCTCTAGAGTATTTTTGGAGAAAAAAATAGAGGATTTAGCAAAATTAATTTGTTGACCAGATGTTTTTTCATACTTCTGGAGAAGAGTCTTAAGAAATAAAATATCTGAAGTAGCAGCTCTGCAAAAAATAATAGAATCATCCGCAAAAAATAAATGTGAAATTGCGGGAGCGTGCGGATAAATTCGAATACTGGAAAGAACTTTATGTTGGAGGACCATCTGCAAAGAGAGAGAAAGAGCTTCTGCACACAAAATAAACAAATATAGGGATAAAGGATCCCCTTGGCGTAAGTCACGGGTAGGCTTAAACAATCCCACAAAGCAACCATTAATCAATACAGAATAAGAAATCGTAGAAATACAAGTATAAATAATTTTAATCCAATGAGGGTGAAAACCCAATTTAGCAAGCATTGCCAACAAAAAAGACCATTCAATTCTATCATAAGCCTTGCTCATGTCCAGCTTCAAAGCAAGAAAAACATTTTTTCCTTTGCGCTTATTTTTTAAATAATGAAGAATTTCATGAGCAATTAAAATATTATCCGTAATATGACGCCCCGTAACAAAAGCACTCTGAGAATCGCTAACAAGAGAGTGAATAAATCCCTTGAGGCAATTTGTGATCACCTTAGCAACAATCCGATACGAGACATTGCATAAAGAAATAGGCCGGTAATGTGAAACTTGGGTGGGGGCATCATTCTTAGGAATTAACACTGTATTAGTATGATTCATACTAGTAAGAAAGTACCCTAAATGCAAAAAGCTACTGACTGCGGAAATTACCTCATGTTTAACCAAAGGCCAGTACTGTTGGTAGAACAGGGGCGTCATGCCATCAGGCCCTGGAGCTTTACAGGGTTGCATAGCAAAGACAACACATTGAACTTCCTCTTCGGTAGGCGGTCGGAGCAAACTCTGGTTCATCTCATCAGAAACACGTGAAGGAACATGACGGAGGAACGAATCAATACCAGCCGGGCATTGAGTTTGGAACAAACCTTGGAAATATTGTAAGAAAGTATCCTGAATTTGGGAAGCATCCTCAACCCAATGACCATTCATATCTTCAACACCCGATATATGATTTCTACGCTGCCGCCGAAGTTGACCATTTATATCTTAAACACCCGATATATGATTTCTACGCTGCCGCCGAATGGTGGATGCATGGAAAAATTTAGTATATTTATCACCCAATTTTAACCATTGAATTCGAGATTTTTGATACCAGTATAATTCTTCCTGTTTCCATGAGAAGTGTAACTGAAGTTCAATTTTAAGAACTTGTGCAGCATCATAGTCAGTCGCCTGCTCCTTCAGGTGTTGAAGCTGAATTTCAGCCTGCCTAATATTTGTCCGAGAATTTGGAGTTGTGGTACGAGCCCATCGAATTAAAGCTTTCTTACACGATTTAAGTTTTTCGGACCAACCATACATGCAAGAGCCATGAATCGGCACACGCCATGCATCACGAATAATGTTGCCCCACTGATCTTCAGACACCCACCGAGCATCAAAATGAAACTGACGAGGTTGGCAGACCAGCACCGGTAACAGGCCTATAAGGAGGGCACAATGATCAGAACCTGCAACCGTGAGATGACGAATGCGAGCTCTCAGAAATAAATGACACCACGTCCTGCTAGCTAAAGCTCGATCCAAACATTCCTGAATATTCGCCAAGCCTCTACGCTAATTACACCAGGTAAACGGATACCCATCAAACCCCAAATCTAAAAGCCTACAATCATCCACCATGCCCCGAAAATTACGAAGAACGCAAAAAGGTTTCGCAACCCCACCCTTCTTCTCAGAGGACGACAACAAATCATTAAAATCCCCAATAATGAGCCATCGGTCAGGCCAGGACAACCACATTCTTTTGAGATAATCCCACTGCGCCGCTCAGATACTATCATCGTGACTAGCATATATAATCGTAAGTATCCAAGTGCTGGTGCGACCAGAATTGAACTCCACAGTAACCTGAAAATCACAATAATCAACAATACGAAAAAGATACTTCGCTTGCCAAAACAGAGCGATTCCACCCGCCTTACCCACAGGGTTAACACACCAACTGTTTGCAAATTTTAACCGTTTCTTCAAGTGCTGAATTTTACATGAAGCATTTTTTGTTTCCAATAAAGCAATTAAATCCAGAGAATGCTTCCTATTAAGCTTCAGTAATTGTTGTACAGTTATAGGATTGCCCACACCCCGACAATTCCAAATTAAAAATTGCATATGACTAGGATGAGGCTTAGAGCTCGAAAACGGAGTAGAACAGAGAGGGTTACGCACTGCTGACGAACCGGGATCAGAAGAAAAGGAGAATGAACGAGGAGGGAAATTACCAAGACCAGCAGAAGTCCAGCACGGCTGTTCATCATGGTCGCGTGCAGCGGATTGCCTCTCAGGTGGTCTAACAGGATGGAGAACAGAACCTTGGCTCAAAGGATGGGCCAAAAGAGAAGGGTCCAGCCCAGAAGGTTTAAATGACCCGTTATCAATCCACCGATGGGCCTCTACTGGGCGGGAATAAGAAGCCCACTTGGAAAGAGAAGGACAGCCCAACCCACAGGACCGACCATGAGTGCTCCTTCCAGACTCTTCTAACCCACCTCAGGATTCATTCCCGGCACCGAGGGAACTCACCACCGGCAAACCAATCGGCCTTCGCACAGAAGACATAGCACAACAATCACGATCCCCCTCGGCAAAAACCATCGGCATGACAACAAGCGATCGGAGATAGTTGCTAAAAGAAACAACGCAAGAACTAAAAACCCAGGCCACCAACAAATTCCGGCCAACACCACACGAGAGAACCCAGTCTAACAAGAACACCCACCACACTAATTCAGTAAGAATGTCACGGCACCACCAAAAAATTGGTAAACCTTTTTACAGAGGTACTTTGCAAATAACAGTCTCTCTTTTCTTTTCTTTTTTTTTTCTTTTTTTTTTTTTAATAATGTCTTCCTACTGTTTTTTTTAAGTACAGTTGGAATGGAAGGTGTTTGGACGAATTTTGAACAGCCTTGTTTGAAGAAGCCAAATCTGAATTTGGAAATGTATGCGACTTGAAGGAGGAACTTAGGTGGTCTCTCTCACCTGCCTGTAGCTTACCAATTCTCTTGGATAACAATAAAAATATCTACGCATAGTCTATAATTTGTAAACAAATGATTGTCTTCTTTTGGAAAAACTGCATTTCTTTAACCCTACTTTACCAAGACATATGAAGAATTTAGATCTAACAATAACTCTCTGCAACTTCACTTTCAAAAGGCATTTGACTACTTCAAGAAATGGTTCATAACAAGTTCACCTTGCAACTTAGCTCTTCATATTGGGGCTTCTACAAGTCAAGCTGTTACAAATCTTTGGCAAAATGCTATTCTATTATGCCTCTTCCTAGAACTTGTTAAATCTATTCATCATTCCTCCGGTTGTGCACATTTACGTTCGTCTTCACTGAACTATTGAAATTCATCAAGGGAAGCTTCCTCCAGAATCTACAGTCCTTGTGGCTTGGTAATTTCTAGCTCTAGTGAGTCTCCTCCCTGATCCATGAATCGGTCTCTGCCTCTTTTTGATGATCTTCAATGCTAAGGTTTTCAATGGAACTGTAATGTCCAGGGGAAGAAGTATTTCTTCTAATTCATGCCACTCCAGATCTTCAAAATCGCCATCCTCATACACCACCCTGTACCAACCTGTTTCCTTGTCGAACTCGGTCACTTTCCCATTATAAAGCTGCTCCCCAAACAACTTGCGTACTTCTCTTCCTTCCAACCATTCACCAAAACTTACATTTCTGTGTGATTCTACATCACTTGTGATGTCACAGAGAACAAATGTGCCGTCACTTGGAGACACAGGTGGCACTCCATTTATAACAACAGCAGGGTCTCCAGATAACTCAAAAACCCCAGTCGATACAGACTCCGATTCATCTGCTTTGTGCGCATTCTCCATTTCAAGTGATCTTTCTTATTAAGCTTGCAGAAAGAATTCAACGAACTACACACACAAGGAATGATCTGATGATCTTTTAATACGCACAATAGATCACATTAAGGCTTTGAAGTGTGACCAAACTTGAGCCAAGAGAGAAGATGACCAAACTTGGCAATCATAAGAATCTGCATCACCAGAAAAATTAAAGTATAAATCATAAGCATCTATAAAGAATTGTTGTAATGTGGCATAAAATGCTCACTTGCTATGAAAAGTGTTAAATTTTGTTAGACAACTAAAGAATGAAATATTACACAATATTCAGATCATGGAAAAACTTTTCATATATCACCCCAACGTTCCTGTGCAAGTTATGCTTCATCACAAGTAGCGAAGAGTGAGTTATTGTGCAAAAGAAACTGATCAAATCATTGCCATAACAGGTTTCGGATTATATGACTGCACCATTTTTTTTCAAAAAATAAAAAAATTTGAGCTGTTGGGTTACTAAGAAGTAAGAATGACTCGTCCTTTGTTTGGATAGAGAAGGTATATATTAACAACAGAATGCTTTTTCTATCTGGATAGAGAAGATATTAGACATATTTATTCCATAGCCTTTGCAGCAATTAATTAGTAATTGTTTGTATAGCTCCACATTCCATGCTCAACTATGTTGTGTTATTATAGAAATGAATCAAATTATTCTCAAATTTGTTGAAATTCACAACTCTTGCTGGTATGCCTAATGCTACTGTAATTCCATTTTTTTATTCGATTTCTTCTAGTTAGCATCACTTATAAGTTTTTAATTTACAGACACTACAGATTTAGTATACATTTGTGCAAAAAAAAAAAAAAAAGAAAAAAAGTTAGGTCTATCTCCAATCTTTCACCTCAAGAACTTGCATTGACCATTGCCCTAAAATATTTTTCAGATTTAACAATCTAACAAATCAAAAATCATATACTGACTACTCCAGACAAACAAATGAATGACATAAAAGGAATCATTCAAAATGCTTCGACAGAAATCGATTGCAAAATGTAAAAGGACTAAGCAAAACTAACCTGATATCAGCAACCCACGACTTCAGAGTATATTATTTAAAGGTCCATTTCGATCTTCATACTAAAATCTATTAATTTGGTATCGATTCTTGAAGCTAAAATAGATAAAGAATCAAAGGGAATGGTAAGATTGAGAATAGAATTGCTGTAATTGAGGAAGAATTAAAGGATTTGTCAGAACCCTAATTATCAATGGAACCAACCAGGGAGCTGCACGAACAAACCCTAAAATGGGAACAGACGGAGGGGAAGGCAATACTGGTTATCCGATGTCGTACTGCTGTTATTTCAATCACATGTGATTCAAGTAGACAAAATAATAGGGTCATTTTTGCCCATTATTGCGTGTGTGGGAATTTTTTTTTTTTTTTTTATAAATATTTTTATTTTTTATATACACTTTTATAACATTTTATATAATAAAATCAAATTTATAAATACATGTCTCCACATCTTCCTCATACAAATTGAATTTATCCATACTTACAAAAATAAAAAATGTCTCTCTAATTTTTTTTTTTTTTTTTTTTTTTTAAATGTACTAGATAAAATGTTTGCTCGTAATTAAAACTTTTTGTCTATCATGTAAAAAATAAATAAATTGGCTTTCACAGTGTAAGTTTGAATATTTTCATATTTATATTTTAATAAGCCATATGTTATAGTCACAAGTCATGTAAGATGTATTTTAATATTTATATAAGTCAATCAAACAAATATAATTCAATACTTTACGTGCATTATGTCTGTTTCACACACATACATATAAATTTATAAATTGAATGTTGTCAATTTTTTTCAAATGAGTTAAAATCATAAAACTCCCGCCTATTATTAAAACTATGCATAAAAGCCCTATTAATTTTATTTTTTTACTATTAAAAAAAATAAATAAATAAATAAAACTTTAAAAAGGCTATTAGATCACAAAGTATCTGATGGAGACATTTAACTATTTATTTAAAAATCAACTAATTAAAGCAGTTTGTTATAAGGACTTGTGAACATTGTATATAATGTACAAATTAATAAGGCATATACAATGTTCCTTTTCACTTGGAATTAATTCTAAAACATGGCTACTACATCAATTGTATATATAATATATTAAAAGTAGGAATTAAACCGTTTACATATTAGTGAATATAAACTTGTAAATAAAAGAAAATTAATACATTGATAATGCTTGGTAGAAAATTAGCCAGAAAAAAAACTACTATATATACAAAACAATGAAAAATACAGTATTACAAATAGATGAATTCTAAAGGCTGGGGATTTTAATATTTTTCGTTTATTAATTATATTGAACTAAGCATTAAGTCATATGTAATTTATAACCAAAACACTAATTCATTTATATCATAATGGAGTCATACCATAATATAAGTATTATAAAAATAAATTAAAAGATTTATTCTATTCTTAAAGGTTAACCTCAAATTAAAAAAACCGTCTTTATGCCCACTGCTTTGGCTTCTCTAATCACCTTTGCGTTTACACTGCTCTTTTGATTGATCTATCTTTTTGTGTTGCATATTTATGTTTTCTTCTCTGCAACAGAATTTTTCATGAACACCTACCTAGGCTGTATGTTGTATGTCATTGGACCATGTGGGGTAAGAGATTGGCTTCACAATCTTTTAAATGAGCTTTCATTTGTCGATTCTTCATTTAAGGGTCTGTTTGGATAAATAGGGGAGAAAAGAAAAGAAATGATAGTATTAGTTATGAGAGAAAAAAAAAAAAGAAAAAAAAATAAAGGATAGTAATAATTTATATTGGTGTTTGGATAGATAGGAGAGAAAAGAAAAGAAAGGATAATTATTCTTATTTGGATAAGATAGAAGAGAGAAAAAAAAACAGAAAGGATAGTGACCAAATTATTGTTTTACCCTTTATAATAGTCATCACCTTACACCTTTTTCTTTTTTCTTTTTAAATTGAAAGTAGAGTTAAATGTCTCTATCCAAATTTCTCCAAATTTTACATTCCTACGGTGAAGTAATAATCAGGCTTTTTTTTTTCTTTTCTTTCCTGAGGCCTGTGCACAAACAACAAAAAGCAAAATAAATGAGAGCTTTGAAATTGACTTGAATGCATAGCTCAAGTTAACAATTTAGTGTGTACAGAATGCTTAACAGAGACCAAGACTACTCAACAATTGGGACATAAATAGAATTACATAATTGGGACATAAATGGAATTACATTTTTGTATGTGGATTTGTGAAGGGTATTTTGAGTATTAAAAATATACAACTTACTATCCCTCCCTATCTTCTCAATTTAGGAGAGAAAGTATATAAGAGATAGGTAGGAATAACTATCCCTCCCTATCCTCTCTTTTCTCTCTACTTAAATTAGCCAAACACACTTTCACACTATCCTCTTTTTTCTTTTCTCTCCCTGTCCCCCCAAATCAGCCCTACCAAACAAACCCTTAGTTTTATATTGAATGATTGCCTGATTATATTCATATCTTTGTAATTAATTATTCCCGTAAAAAAATTCTTGCTATTGGATATCCATTTATATCTTTTGTCTTGATCTTGTTTATTTGGATTGCTTCCTGCAACTACAATTTGTGTGCCTAGATGCTGATTCTCTTTATGTGGTTCTGTATCATAAAACTGCATTAGAATGTGAAAGTGAGCACTGTCTGTATAATTAATTATTAAGAACAAAACACTAACCACTTAACATGTCTTTCTTTTCTTTAAAATATAAATATATATATATATATATATACAGATTGGTAGACTGTAACAACTCAATTGGAATTCTCAACAGTTCTCATAATTTCTTTTGCTAAACTCGAGATTTGTCCACAAAAACTGAGACCTATTATTAATAATCACCACTCTTTCGAGATTTGTCCACAAAAACTGAGACCTACGATTAATAATCACCACTCTTTCAATTTCTTTGGCAAGATACAAAGATGCACTTCTACATTTCCTTCCAATTTTAATTTTTTGAAATGATACGAAACGAGCAAATTATAGAAAATTTGATGAAAAACCTCAATGGCAATAATTTGATTTATCTCACATTGAAGTTGGCTTTCATAGGTATAAAACTTGAGTACATCTCAAGTGCAAGTCACCCAAAAATAACCAAAAAAAAAAAAGTGTTCTGTTTCGGTCAAATTATGATTATGTAGGTCTGGAAGTGGACATAATTATAATACAAACAATAAATGGTATTTAAGAGGATAGAGCAATTCCAAATAAGGTTTCTGGACGCTTCAATTTCTATTTACTTACTGACTTCAATCTGTAGCAACAGCAGAGTTAGTCTTTTGACCCTTAATCGCAGAGTTAATACATCAAAGAGTGAATCTTTTGACCCTTAATCGCACTTTTTACAATAACAAAGTAAATCTAAAAGAACATACAAGAGAGAGCTATAAAGTTGGCCAAAAACCAGATGCAACACTTCGATCTCTATTTGCATATTGTCTTCGTATCTGTCCATACTGAAAAGAGGTCATGTTCGGATACTTGAATAAACCTGCACAAATTAGTGGGAAGGATGATCAATGGAATATTGGAATGTATAATGCATATCCTGTGTAAAATACTCAAAAAAGTAAGGTTGTGTCGCGAGGGATCATTACATAACGAACATCTCTTCTTCCTAAATATAGAGACCAAGACCATAGTCTATTAGATAATACCGGTGTAAACATATCAGGATCACTTGAGCTAATGAATATTTGCACGCTATTATTTTCAGAACACAACCATGTGTGCGACACAAGTGTTGGAACATCTGGGACTCTATGAACTACATTTCATGAAAAATCTAAGAATATAGTCACAGACTATTTTTTTAGGAGCACCACCACTGAATGAATTAATGTTCAATGTTTGGGATATTCACAGCCACAGAGAAAAACAGAGTTGCTGCATTTGATTCAAATCCAGATCAAATTCTGGAGGAAAGACCAATTTCTTGTGGAATAGACGTCAGTTAGACCAGATAAAACTATTAAATATCAACCAGTTATTCCAAAACTGCACCAAATGAAAAGAAAATTCGTGAAGAATTTGAAATATATTCACAAAGATTGATTATTTGCAAGATTTGAATATTATTTGTGAGTTTAACAGAACCAGGTTTTGTACTTTGATTGAGAAGTACTATGTACTAAATCCCCAGTGGGATAGAGCAGTTGGCTAGGAGCATGTAAAGCAGACGCCTCCCTCAACAAAATTCCCCTCTCGTGGAACCAGCCTCCACGCAACTTGGGGGTGTAGATATGTGCCTCGGAAATTAGTAAGAGTGTAAACGGACTTCAACGCTTGCGGTCTACTTGGGTTAACAGATTCAATAAGCAGTTGCGATAAGACCAGGATACGGTAGAGCAATGGATACAATGTTGATGACAACCAAATGATCAAGCAAGAAATTGCATTACAAATTTGGGAAAGCACACCTCTTTGCTATTCTTCAGTGTAATCAATCAACTTGAGGCGTAGCAGCTTGAAGCATTTCAACAATGAAAGTCTTCACATCCCTGCAAAAGTTTGGGAAAGAATGTAAATACAACCTACCCAGAAAAGCAATCCAACTCTAGTTAAGGACGAAGTCTTCATACAAAAATACTTCTGGAACTTTACTCCCTTTGTTATTCAATGCAATGACAAAATTGCCCTTTTAACATCTGGCTCTTTTTATAACGTCTCTGTTCCTTCCTTTGGGACTTGATTCTCATATCTTTCTCCTCACTTCTCTCCCTCTTACAATCCCTTGTTTTGACCTTAGTGGATGTCAATCAAGCTTAAGATTTAAACTAGATTGTGGCATCAGAAACTCCCACCCATGCTAAAGGGATTAAGAATGGTGGAAATTAGGATATGTAATAATGGAGAAGGAAGATGAATGGTGGAAATCAGATTTAAAATTTTGATTTGTGTCAGAAATTCCCATTCATGTTAAAGGGAGGAAATTCAAACTGGAAAACGACAAAATGGTAAAAGTTTCAGAGATCTCCCTCCCCTTCCCCCCATCCCCACTCTCTCCCTAAAGAAATCCACCAATTTTATTGTTGTCACCGCCACTAGGAAATTCATTGGTTCTTCCACAGTCATCATCACCACAGCAGTAATTCCTTTCTTTTCAGTTGGGTCTCAATATTGGGATGAAATTTCTACTGTTCAATTTCAAATTATAAATCTTAAATAATCATTCCACCTTTCCTCCACATTCAACTAAACCCAGAAAATTGAAAAAGGGCCCTTCTTTTTCCTAAGGATATCTCTTTATTCTTCCTAAAAAAAAATTCTTGTACCAAAAGTACAAATTCTGATATTGCCCTGCCTCTGCGGTGAAAGAGAAAGTAAGTGATATGTATAATAAATTTGAGACCAGACCCTTATTGTGCAATCCATTTGATCAGAATGTAACAATAACCAAGAGCAAAGGTAAAGAACAAAGAAAAAAAAAATTCAGCACAAGTTTCAGAGTTATGGTAGATCATTCAAATTTGAACGACTCACTTTCTATCCGTTGCACGTCTAGGGAAAGGGATTCGAAGCTTGAAAGTGCTCCCTTGATAGCCAGCCTGATAGAAAACAAATTGTAAGCACAATTGTGAAGGGGATGGTTGAGATAGGAAAAAAATGTGAACCCAATAAGGCTTGCTAAGTTTTTAGCAAAGAGAATCCTTTCACCAAATAGTCTATTTTCCAGCATGTGTCACTACATAATTAGCAACCAGCAAAAAGAGCCTCAACAACTTCAACGAAAGACCCAATCTTCCCGTCATATATAGCAGGAAAAAAAACAATAATAAGTCCTACAATTATTAGGAATAAACAGAATATGAAATGGTAAATATCAGCATCACCTTAACGTTGAAACCAAGACTGTCCAAATCCAGCATGTGAGCAGAGTCCACCTGGGGAGAACAACATAAAATCAATTTTTTGAAACATATGCTGTGACTGCTGTCCACTATAATTTCACTATTATTTAACTAAACAGCCATTTCTATGCTGAGGAATTAACTAATACAAGAGAAATGGCAGATATAATAACACAAGCATCCTTTAAAAAGATGCCACATCAACGAGCTACGTACAACATCCACAACTCAGTAAGTGAAACTTAAAACCATATTAAGTAATCCCCTCACTAAAATTAGATTTAACAAAGGCCGAAAGAAAAGAAGGGGATTTTTAAGGTTTCATCCAACAAAATACAAGTTTTGAAAAAACAGGGATAATTACTGCACATTTTGGTACAACACTGACACCCGTAAACTAAACAAGTTTGAAAAAGTGGCTGGCGTAAGATGATATGATTTGTTTAATAATGCAAATTGATTGGGAACAACAAATTTCAGTTTCATTTTGGTGAGAACATTTTCCATTGTTACTTTTTTTTCTCTTTGTTTGGATAAGTAAGACGTGCACACCCATGTCCCAACCGACATTTGAACTCAGGGAGAAGAGGAAGGGGGTGTCATAAAAGCAAACTTGATCAAATCATTAGCTTAAAATCCATTCTGGTTATGGCTCCAAATCCATTAGGACAGAACATTTTCGTTTCCAAGTGAAATAGGCCTAGTTGGATCCCCAATTTGCAATCATCCTGGTTTATCTATTTCAATCAGTTGAGTTATTTTGGTTTTTTAATAGTTAAGATCAAATTTCCAGCTAGATAATACAAAAATAGATGGTTCAAAGGAGTCTTCTGGATTACTGGGATTGATGTCGAGTGTTGTACGATAAGCTTTGTATCTTCTGCATGATCTCTATTCATGTGGGACTGACAAGTGACAATAACATAGAGTTAAATAGAAATCACAGAAGACTGCATCAAAGGTAAGAAAAAGCGATATGTAATCCAAAGGCACATGTTAGAAGGTAATACCGCAACTGGCTTAGAGAACTGAAATATTGGATCAACTTTTGCCATTCTATACTCTTCTTTGCTGAACTCTGAAAGTAGTACAAGATATTATAAATGAGGAAAGACAGTTTTAATAAGAGAAATCAAACGTGGTAAGGCAATTGGCAGGAGGCACTGAGAATATGAACAGATAAAATATTCAGCAGCAATAGCATAAGAAGGGCACTGTCTCTTGTATTTTGGCACTTAAGCAACATGTCAGCTCCCCCTTTTGTCCCAACCCAGTCCACATGTGCACACCAGAAAGGAAGATGGATGGATGATACACAAACCTCCTGATCCCAATGAAGCTGTGGCAACCCCTGAGACATATCGTACAACTTTGGGCTCGATGCGTATAAATTGGAAATCGCCAAAATCATCCTTCATATTCAAAATTTTCTCTTAATATTTTATCTAAATAAATAGGGGAGAAAGCATAACAATTATCGAACCATGATACATTGTATGCCAGATAATGAATGAGCAAAGGTTACCCAGAAAGCCCCAGGATGCCTTGCCAAGTATGCAGTACGAATAGTTTCTATATCTTTCTCAGAAACCTATAGAATTGATCACAAGAAAATTTATTTTTAATGATCCAATTAAGGGTCAGTGGAGTAAAATGCAACAACCGGCAAATGAAAAGAACATAAGCAGCATAATTTAGGACAGGTTCTTACCCCACCAACAAATGGAGAAAAAGAAAAAAGAACAAAACAGTAAAATATTAGAAAAAGTTAAAGACTTACAGAAATAGCATCACCATGCACTGTTATTACTAAATCAGTCCTATCCTTAGGATCTTTTGCCACAAGCAATGAGCATTTGGGATTAGATAGGATGTCCTGCATATAGCAGCATTGTTCCAAATAATTACCTGACTTTTCAAAGACTAATATTTCCTCAAAGAATACGAAACAAAGAGGTCATAAACATTTATTCGAACAAAGTGTTAATTCATTTGGTTATAAGGATAAAGAAAGTGTATCAGAGACATTCTAAGAATAATGAATGTCTGGGACAATCTAGGTTTTGACCTTGACCGAGCTCATCTTAACGTACATGAGAACATGTAGCTACATTTTTTTTTTTGATAAGTAAAAAAATATATTAGAAAAACGTTCAAAAGGGGAACATGTCTCTAATACAAGAATAAAAAAGGTCTAAGGACCAATGGAATCCAAGAGGTCAAAGAAATCATTAATCGAGGAGCATGCACTTCCTCTTACATAAGAGAACAGAGAGCGAAGAATATGAATTTTTAAAGTAGCTAAAGACGATTCTTTTCCTTCAAAGGATCTGTTATTCCTTTCACGCCACAAGCACCACCACACACAATGTGGAACAATCTACCAATAATCCCGAGCTTGTTCTTTGACAGGACACCTTTTCCAAGTGTTAATCAATTGAGAAGAGTGCTTAGGCATTACCCACAAAACGCCAAACATGCTAAAAATAAAACTCCAACAATCAAATGCCACAGGACAATGCAAAAGAATGTGGTCCATGGATTCACTATCAGCTTTACATAAACAACACCAATTAATAATAAAGTTGTCTCTCTTTCTCAAATTGTCCAATGTCAAAATCTTCCCTAATGTGGCAGTCCAAACGAAGAATGCGATTCGAAGAGCAGCTTTAGAGCGCCAGACAGACTTCCAAGGGAACTCAGGACCAACGAAATTGGACAAACAGATAAACATAAAGTGGACACCAAACCGACCATAAGCTAAAGGAACCCACAAAATATCATCACACCCTCTGCCAACATCCTTCTGTCTATACAACGTATCCAAAAAAAACACAAGCTTCCTCCATTTCCCAATCCTGAAAGGGCCGCCTAAACTGCACATCCCACGTAACTCCATTGTTATCAAGTTGATAACAATCAATCACGTAAACATGCTTATTGGCTGCAATACTGTAAAGCCTAGGAAAGGAGTGAGACAACAGCTAATCGCCGCACCAAAGGTCCTCCCAAAAACGAACATGTCTGCCATCACGAACTTTGAATCTAATATGTGTGGAGAAAACATCCCAACCCTTCCGAATGAATTTCCACACACCAACGTCTCCCGTAATAGTGACTGAAAGAGATGACCAGCCCCCACTCTCTTCACCAAAACGACACGAAACAACTCTTCTCCACTGACGATGGCATTCCCTTCCAAATCTCCATAACCACTTTCCCAAGAGAGCACGATTAAAAGGAACAATTTTTCGAATGCCTTACCCACCTAACCTCAACGATTGGCCGACTTGATCCCAATTGACAAGATGATACTTAAACTCATCTCCCCTTCCACCCCAAAGAAAATCCCTCTGAATTTTTTCAATCCTTTCAGCAACAGAGCATGGAATTTGAAACAGAGATAAAAAATAGGTAGGAAGGGATGAGAGAGTACTCTTAATGAGTGTGACTTTCCCCCCCTTAGATAGATACTGTTTTTTCCATCCTGCTAATCTTTTCTCATATCTATTAATCACTGGATCCCAATTCCCAACTTGAGTAAAAGAAACTCCCAAAGGCAATCCTAAGTAAGGAAGAGGAAAAGAACCAACTCCACATCCTAAAACAGCAGCTAAGGAGGAAATATCTGGAACATCCCCCACTGGGACAAGCACACTCTTTCTAACATTAATCTTTAGCCCAGAAACCGCTTGGAAGCAAGCGAGAGTGCACCTCAAGTATCTGAGTTGAGAAACTTCAGCATCACAAAATACCAAAGTATCATCAGCAAATAATAAATGGAAAATCTGCATCTAATGCTCAACATCTCTGCCAACTCTGAACCCCCTGATGTAACCCAAATCTTCCGCTTTTCTCATTAACCTGCTCAAACCTTCCATGACAATGAGGAAAAGAAAAGAAGATAATGGATCTCCTTATCGCAGACCACGCGAGCTAGCAAAAAAACCCGTAGGTGAACCATTCATGAGAACAGAAAACATAACTGACGAGATACAAGTTTCAATCCATTTAATCCACCTATCACCAAACCCCATCCTCCGAAGCAGATACAGAACAAACTTCGAATTAACATGATCATAAGCTTTCTCAATATCAAGCTTACACAAAACGCCAGGAATCCCACTTCTTAATCTAGAGTCAACACATTCCCCAGCAATAAGAACAAAATCCAAAATCTGCCACATTCAAACTATTAATTCAACAACTATTTCTTGTACAAAGCATTATGATATACCCTTATCATCAAACTTAAACATTCTCTTTGTTCAAGGAGTGTCCAAGCATTCCCTTTTCTATTTCTGTTTTATCAATTGAAAAAGCACTAGTAACCATTAGGAACCATTGTATTGCAATATAAATTTACATATAAGTCAGAAAAAAGGACGATTTTCACTTGCAACTCGCAATATCTCTTAGGATATTGCCAAAATCATTCTAAAATTTGAAATTTTATTTGACTATGAATTTTAAAGTAATGGTGCAAACCTTGGTATGAACTTCCAAGCTGCTGATTGCTAATATCGGACATCCATATGCATCACACACAAAGTCAACCATCAACCCTGACGGATAACCCTCATGCTTCTGCAAATGAAACGGTAATTGCAAATAAGTTGAGCCAATAATTTGGAAAAGGTAATATGTTTTCAACTTTTTGCAATCAATTATGTAGCTTCTATTTGCATTTGTCAGTTGTACAATTTGGCATGATAATTGTTTACATATTTTTTTTTTCTTCAGTTGTGATTAATTGAAATTGATTCATTAGAATTATTATGGAAAATATAACAATTGTTATGCTTTGATACCAATTGATAGATCTGTGGAACCGAAACCCTAGGATCTGATGTGTCAGAGTGTGAGCGGTGAGTTTGACCTATGGGGTTGAATAGGTCTTATGAATATTATTTTGCTTTTAATTAAATTTTCAATTTTTTGTTGATCCCTTTTGAAATCCAGTTAGCTTGTTGTGAAGATTGATATTTGAATTCTAGTTACTTTTTAATTCCTTCAATCATTCTCAAAATCATGCAACAAACATAAAGTATAATAGAGTATAGCACAAACACAATTTTTACATAAAAAACCCAAAACGGGGGAAATCACAGGACCTAGAATAGAATTCATTAGGATAGTTGTAAGTTACTATCAAATTATCACATATTTGTCCATTCAAGCTGTCCGTCCTCATCCTTCCATTCATATAATAATGCCAAAGTAGAATCCAGAAAATAAAAGCTCCATTTAATCAATCATCCCGAACATCCACAATTTTGATCTGGTTCCAATAATACTGTTCCAAATAACAGTGCAGAAGTAAAGGCTCAACTTATATGATCTGGTTCCAATAAAAATAAATAATTGGCAAAGGATAAAAGAATTCTTACATGAGATAAAGTAGAAAGCACGCCGCGTAAACTGTGATCAAGAACCGTCCGAATTTCTTCAATTGGAGGAAGCCTAGCAGCCTTTTCCTGCAATAACAACCCATGATTAATAAGATGTACCAATATATATACATAGACACACACCTATATATCTATAGAGAGAGAGAGAGGGGAGGAGAGAGAGAGATTATAAAGTTTAACCTGATAAGCTTGAATGAGTTGAAAGACACTTAATTCACCAACAGCATCCCAAGAAGGCACAGTCTGATTGACAAAAGAAATTCAAGAAAAATAGAAATATAAATTACTCAAACAGGAAGTGCAGGCCCAATGAACCTCTGCACAGATATCCACCACCATTTGTTAATGTTTTAAAAATATAACAATTTTTAAATTTGGGATACAATTTTTAAATATCTTATTCGCAGTTACATGTTTAGACTATTGACAAAAACATAATAAAATAAAATAAAATTTAAACCAGCTAGTCTTATAAATTATATATATCTTTCCAGAAGAAAAAAAATAGAAATTAATAAAACAAGTTCTTGTGTAGTTAATCAACTGACACAAATATCACTGAGTTTGTAGATCTTTTTCTGAGTAAGTCTCATTTCCATTAGAAACCCTCAAACAAATGGTAACAGGTATTAAAACACAAAATATGTTATCGAAACAAGTAACTTCGTGCAATTCAATAATGTGTTATCCCAATTATTTGTAGCGTTCATTTCTAAATCAAATTGGCTTCACTATTTTTCTTTTACCTGCGGCTAAAGTTTGAGAGTAATCAAATGCCAATAAAAGATTTCTCCACTTCTACCTTATAGGCTTATATATGGGGCTTTTGAGTGATAATGCAATCTTTAGTGACAGGTTTCTCAATGGTTGCCACATTTTATGTGTCATTTGACAGCTACTATAATTTCAAATTAACCAGCTCCGTTTTTATGTTATAATTAGATAAAATAAGTATGAAACTCGTAACAAGTTGTAGAAAGCATTCCACTAAAACGTAAAACACATCTCTTGAGTAGACAAGTTAGTTGGTACTCTAGGTTTAACGGTCTTCATATAATTAAAACTGAACTGATATAAGCCTTTTTGAGGATGAAGAAAGGGGAGTATCTAGTACCGCAAATAAGCATAAAAGTTTATAATATTTACATGAATTACTCCACAACTTGTTTTCTTTTTGAAAATAAAATTAGAAACATAAAATCAATGGTAATGGGACGAAAGCACATCCACATAAAGCTTAAATGGAAAAATAAGAACAAGACAAAGGAAAAGTATCTGACACAAACTCTAAGAATAGAGAATATATTTGAAAGGAACACCCTCCCAGCCATTACAAAGTATCTGTTTCCATAACCTTGTTGAAAATACTTAATCAGTAATATCACTCAAATAGACACATATTAAGACATCTCCAAACTCTAGGATGATTACTCATTAGCCTTCGGCCTTCCATAAGATTTGTACAGATTTTTTTCATATTTCAAGTATAGAAATACATATTTTTCATATTTCAAGTATAGAAATACATACCGAACCTATCTCTAAAGATAAATGCTTCCGAACAACAATCCCAGATACAGCCTGAAAAATAGCATTTGACACAATGTATATTACTGTAGCAACTAACAAAAAGAACTAACAACTAAGAAAAATATAATAAAATTTAAAGAAACACGACAAAAGTATTTCTTAAATAATCCTTACTTCACAAACATCTTCTGCATGCCCCGCAAAACATAGCGAGCGAGAGTCAATCTTTTTATAAGCACCCCAAGTACTTGTGACCTGGAATGGGTAATGTGAATTATCAATTACAGAATCATAATAATAGAACAATTTTATTATGCAATTACAGAATCAATACAAGTACACATAATTCAATCAGACATGCAGGGAGACCTGCAAACAAGAAATTAATATTCACTACATACAATGGAAACACTACTGAACCAATATAATTAATGATTCGGAGCAATTCCTCATGATGAGATGGGAAGTATACACACCTTTGACGGTCGAGAAAACTTGACAGGCAATACTTCAAATGAGCCATCCTGATCCTGGTTAGGTGTCATAAAAACAATACCATTCACCTTAAGCAAAATAGACTTCTCACTTCTATTTAAAACATGCAACTCAAGACCCACAGTGTCCAGCAAAGGACATACAACACTAAACTCTCAATTCTTTTTATTACGTATTGTTAACATACTTACAAAAAAAAAAATGTTTTAATAACATGCTTAACATTCGTTGATTATAGATTTACTTACTTGCTGTGTATCATCAATGATCAGCAAGGCACTTTCTGGACCTAGAACCAAATATTAAAGTCCATGAAAAAAATTTACAGTACAAGTGATTATCATAAACAGAATAATAGGAAATATAGACCAAGAACCACAGAATAATTGATTCATATAGTTGCTGACAAGATTAGTCATTGTGCAGCATATGAGTTCATTTTTAGTTTATTAATTAATTTAAGACAACTAAGAGAAAACCAAATTACTATAATTATACAGCCACTATGAGAAACACTTTACCAAAAGCATACTATGAGTTAGTACCCAGGAAGATCACAAATGATTCCGAAGTTACAATTATTCATTCCATTAGGAACTTTAATTTAAGTATATTTCAAAGGAATATAAAATTTAAAGAATGCACAAACCATCATATTCACGTTGGCATTCTGCCTGCCCTTGTTGTTCTTCACGGAATTTTGATGTCAAAATATGTTGCTTGGGAAAGAATTCAACGCCCGTCACATTTCCTGGACCAGAGTTTTGACTATCAGGGCTGCCTTGTGGTCCAGAAGGCCCTTGTGGTGTGGCAGGTGGCTGACGGGGAAGACTGATGGGGGGATTCAATGGTTCCACAGTCCAAGGGCTGACAAAGTTTTCATTTCGATCCGAGTGTTTCCATTGCACCTGAACATCCAGTCAATTGACAATAAATTACAATAATTAAATTCGACAACCTAACGTATAATAAAACGAAAACAATTAAAGTTGAGTTGATATACCTTCAGATTATACCAAGGATCATTATGGTAAACTGAAGTCACTCTACCTTCAAACCACTTTATTCCTCCAGCATCCTTGGTTTCAAAGGCCTTTCGGAACAACATTCCTGGCTTCCACAAAAAATCCAAAGCCTTCATAACATCAGATATTCCCACGCAAAACTGGGGACCCGCCGCTCGTGGGTAATAGAGAACCTCGTGGAGCCCTACTATATGCCATTGAAACTTCGTGGCTAACTGATGTAGCCCTCTCGATCCTGCTCAGTTCTTTTGCAATCCCTACTAGGACTTCATCAGCTTCAGCCTTCATAAACACAATAGAATCACCACGTTTGAGTTGGTTATTGTTTGCAAATCTTCTCCAATCCCCCCTTAGGTGATCTTGACTTTGTGCTCGCTTAAAAGTATGTCTGAACTCCCAACTTGTACCGGATATGTCATTCACAAGGATTGTCTGCTCTTCAGATTCTGAATCCATCGGCGGAAAAATTGTGTTAACACAGTGTTTCAAAACAGCCAAGGGACCATTTGCATCAGAACTCGTTAAAGTTTTATAAGACAATGGGTAGTCAACTATATCATCTCGATGAATCTTTGCATATCCCTGATCTAGTGAAGGATCCATGGGAACGAGTCCAATTTTTGCAACCGGCTCATTTGTGTCTGGATTTGCAAACAAAGTAAGCACTGAAACTTGACAACTAATCATTTGAGCACGACTGTCAGCTAGATGAAACTCAACCCCTACATGCTCGGCGTGCCCCTTAGGGAAGTAATAGACCATTGCCCCCGGCCATGGCACCTGCGCCATACTTCCAGCTGAAGCAAACCATAGCTTATCCTTCTTATTCATTGTACAGGCAAAACAACCTGAAAAAAATATCAAGACAGATAAAAGTTGTTAAGTACATATTAAGAAAAAACAGAATAGAGAAAAAAAAAAAAAAAAAAAAAAATTCTCTTAGCATTATTTATAAAAATATGCTTGCATTACAGACGCATGCAAATAGTTAGCTAATATGCATAGATAAACCAGGTAATTATAATATCTAACATTATTTATTAAAATATGCTTGCATTACATACCATCACTGCATGCAAATAGTTAGCTAATATGTATAGATAAACTAGGTAATTATAATAGCCGAGCCTCTCTAATATCATAGGATTATTCAACACCAATGCACAAAATTGAAACCCTAGGTTACAAATCTAATATCAAATATATATTATCGAATCCAGAAAACATGTAAAACTAAAGGACTGTAAACATGGAAACCATACATATAGATCGAAAAAACTTACAAATCTCGAAAATTAAAGAGTCATGGAAACATGTAAAAACTGTAGCCTAAATAAGAAATATAAAATAAAATTAATTAACAACTTTCCTTTGTATAAATTTTTTACATTTTTGTTTCTTTTTCACTTCAAATCTTTCTTCTTCTTTAATAAATCAACATACACAAAATTACAGAAAAGAAAGCGAGAGGAGTTAGAGGATTTCTCTAAATCAGGAAAACATGTAAACCTAAAGGACTGTAGACATGGAAACCAAACATAGATCGAGAAAATTATTAGAATCATGGAAACATGTAAAAACTGTAACCTAAATAAGAAAAATAAAATAAAATAACTTAATTAACCACTTTCCTTTGTATAAATTTTTTACTTCCATAGATTGATTTTGTTTCTTTTTCACTTCAAATCTTTCTTCTTCTTCAATAAATCAACATTCAAAAAATTACAGAAGAGAAAGCGAGAGGAGAAGAATTATACTCACACCGCGTCGCTTCAGAGGATTTCGGCTTCGCTTCAGAGGATTTCTCTAGGGCTTTCTATTCTAACGGTTGGGATTGGGTGTGTTATATGGGAAGATGGTTCGCGGTCTTCGTTTACATTTAAAATTTGGAAAAAGTACTAAAACCCCCTGAACTATTTAAAAATTCCAAATCCCCCTGTAGTATTGGTTATTTCATATCAGCCCCTAATAATAATAATAATAACAATAATCATATTCCAAAAACAATAATGCTGTTCGGGAAGTTTTTCATATTATTAACCATTTGTTTTCATATTGAACCTATGGTAAAATAATAATAATGATAATTATTGAAAAAACATATTTTAAATGTATAGTTGGTGATAATTGTTTTTTAAAAAAAAAAAAATTCCATACAGTAATGTGATAATTAAAATTAAAGGATTAATAATAAAAATACAAAAACTCTCACAAATCTAAAATAGTTTGAAGTTTTAACCGTCAAGGAGGATTCAAAAAAAGTTTAAAAAAAAATATAAAAAAGAAAAGAAAGCATAATGAATTGGAGTTGAACTAAAAACAAAGAATTTATAAGAAAATATTTATAAAATTATTACTGAAAATGTTAAGGAGAAGAAAGAAAAATAGTGTTAATTGTTGAAAAAAAATAACTAAATGTGTTAATGTTAAGGGTTGTGATATTCAGGCAGAAACGTCTTACCTACTTGCTAGGCATAATGCATGTGACCGTCCAGTTGGCAAAATTAATCCCATTTGGCATCAACATCATCACACGTCGTCTATTCTCCTTATAAACGATATGAAGACCACCGTCATCGACACCAAATATCGACGTCCTCTTCATCATATTATGCCGGCTCAACATACGTCACAACCATCACCCAACTCTAGCAATGCTACTTTTCACGAGCGCTTACGTGCCGGCATCGATCAACATCTTCATCATCACTCGCCCGGAGAGTGAATCTTCGGTAGATTCTTTGCCGCAGGAATGGTGACTTCTTCTACGACGTCGTCTCTTGTCGTAACTCCACTGAACACTAAATTCGTCGAGCTCAAACCCATCACAACCCAATTTAGTCCATTGACTGAACCGAGAGCCTTCACGCGTCGGTAACCATCACAAATCCAACCACGGCAGCCACGGAAAACTCATCACACCTCCGTCTGCAACACGAGTGTTAATTACGCGCCTCACGCACTCCACGCCTTCTTCTTCCAGATCACGTGCCCCACACGCCCGATGCGTTTGCTCCCCTCACCTCACCTCCAGCACCATTCAACCCAAGCCACGTGCTTACGAGAAGCTTATGGCCAGAGTCATCACCTATCAATCTGCTGTTCCAAAATCGTTATTCGATCTGCAACAACAACTCGCCGGCGACTACATATCACGTCAAAGAACATTAGATCGCGACTGTTACAAGCATCAATAGCAACTTAGCCGGCGACTCAACTCACAACTATAGAACACGACAGAACAAAAGATCGATAAATTAATTTCGTGAAAAAAAAAAAAAAAAAAAAAAGAACAACAACACAATCTCAGCTTCTCTCCGGCGGCTGACCTAGTTCTGGCATCTGAGATTCCGGCCATACTCTAGTAACCGTGAGCGTCAACAAGAACAACAACCCGAGAACTTGGTTGGTTCGGCGAGTCTAATTTTGGTTCAGGATAACGTGGGAGATTGTCATGACGTGGCTGGCCACGTATGCTTGTCTAACAAATCTGTCAAAATGATCGGCCCAAATATCATTTTCCTAATGTTAAGCATGTGATGTGAGACTGTTAAAGAAGATTTGAAGAGGTTTCGATATTTAGGACATGCTTTAAAATTTCAATTTTATTTTGGGGGGCCAATTCTTAAAATTCATTACTTATTATATATAATTTAATAAATTTTATGATGGAATATATATAATTTTCAAAAAGTTGGGGGATGGGGGCATGGCCCCACTTGCCACCGTATGATACATATTACAACCAACTTAGCCAAGGATTTAGAATGCTTAAATAGAATATTAGAGAAACAATCATGCTGTTTTGGGTTAATTATACTCTTTGTTATTATTATTATTATTATTATTATTTAATCACAAACACTTGGAATTGGTTACATTAAGCATATGATGTCTCACAAATAGAACTGAGACATGTGAACTTATATGCTTAATTAAGTAAGGACTAAGGACAGAGAAACGACAATCTTAGGACAGAGAAACGACAATCTTCTTCTTCTCACTTTTTTATTTTTTATTTTTTATTTTTTATCTTCTTCGAGGAATGCTTCTCTTCTTCTGTGTGTTTTTTTCTCACGAGGACGCTCTAGCCAATCAATTGGATTTCTGCAAACTCTCGGAAGAGCAAGAGCAAGAAAATTGTGATTGCTGATTCGGTGGCCTCCGAGGGGCTTCAACTCTGCGCTCATAGTCTGGTTGGGAAGCTCTACTCTGATAAACCGGTGAAGTTGTTTGGGATGAGAAAGACACTCAGTGAGGCATGGGACTGTGATGGTTTGCAGATGTATCAGATTAAAGAGCTTATGTTTCAGTTTCTTATTCCTCTGGAGGAGGATAGTGAGCGCATCTTGCGCAATTATCCCTGGAGTTTTGATGGAGACCTTCTCTCGATCCAACAATGGGTTCCAGAGTTTCAGTTCTATCCCGAATCTTTTCGTTCTGTACCCTTTTGGATCCGAATTACCAATGTTCCCTTGGATTTGATGACAGAAGGGGCGCCTAAGGAATTAGCTTCCTCTTTTCTGACTTGTGAGAAAGTTGAAGTTCACGATTTGGGTTTTGCCGGGGGACGTTATATTCGTATTCGGGTTTGTGTGGATGTGTCAAAGCCATTTAGACGAGGGCTCAGGATTGTTCATGAGGGTAAACGAAAATGGACGAAATTGCGCTATGAACGTCTCCCTTCCCTTTGTTATTTTTGTGGCAGAGTTGGTCATGCAGTTCGTTGTTGTCCGTCCAAGCTTGATTCTGATCCAATTGATGATCGGCAGTTTGGTTGTTGGTTGAAAGCTTCGGGATTGGTTGGGAAACTTCTTAAGAATCAGAAAGGATCCAGTTCGGCTAACTCATCTTTCGGCCCTTTGCCGTGATCTACTTCAGTCGTCCCAATTTCCCTGGTGATAGGGGAGCCCGCCGACGAGGTACACAGTGTCCATAGCGATTTTATCAATTCTTGTGCACCAGTGGTTCAGTTCATTAATGCTCCAGTCAGACTTCAGTTTGACTCTTTTCCCTCGGGGGTTGGTCCTATCAGTGATAGGGGCCCAAGTTTGATGGGTGGGCTGCCCATTCTTAATGATCCAGGTTGTATCCATTTCTCTGCCCCTCGGGCTTCGGCCCAGTCTTTCGGATCCTTGGATACTAATATTCCAGACGGTTTTATCTCTGGTGAGCCTTATAATTACCCTACTGAAGTCAAGCCCAATCCGAGTACGGACTCCTCTCACCAAGTTTTTGATTCTCAGTCATTTTTTAGTCCAGACTTAAGCCCATCTATGGAACCTGTTATTGTTCCTATTTCCTACGCTGAGGAGTCTTCGTTACCCCCTCCTATTTTGCCCGATCCTTGTGGTGTTGATGGTTCATCAGTCCCCTCTCTTGTTATCTCTCCTATCTCGGTGATGCCGACAAAGGCGACCTCCTCGTCGGCGTGGAAGAAGCGAGCTTGGGTGGCCAGTGTGCACAGATCGGAGACTCCCACCCCTCCCCCCAAATGTAAAGCTGAGGTCCTTCAGGTTCCTCCTCTCATCGTTTCTAAGAAAGCTAAGGGGGTGGTTTTAGATGCTGATTTTCAGAACTCCTCAGTTGTGTCCTCTTCCCCTCAATCCAATCCGATGGTGGCAGCCTGCCTTCTAGGGCCCCAACCCCCTTAATGAGAGTTCTAGTGTGGAATTGTCAGGGTTTAGGGAACCCCCTGACAGTTTCCCAGTTGAGGAGGTTAGTTTACCTCTATTCGCCCCCTTTGGTTTTTCTTTCAGAGACAAAAAATGTGGGTGATCGGGTTGAAAAAATTAGAACTTTATTTGATGGTTTTGATTCTTTTGTGGTGCCTTCGATTGGACGGGCAGGAGGATTGGCTCTATTTTTTTCTACGGAATAGACTGTTTCTATAATTGACTTCACTAATTTTCAGATAACTTGTAAGGTTGTGGGGGGTAAAGGGAACATCCCTTGGTTTTTTACAGGGGTATATGGGTCCGGTACTGAGAGAGACAGGGCCTTTCAATGGCGATACATTCATAGCTTGCAGTTTCAACTGGGACTTAATTGGATTGTCATGGGAGACTTTAATGCCATTTTACACCGTGACGAAAAACGGGGTGGACGTTTGAAGCATGGGTGGATGTTAAAGGATTTTAAGTATTTCTTGGAAGATTGTGCTCTGCTAGACCTCCGGTTTAAATGTTTTCCCTTTACCTGGCAGAATAATAGGGAGTTAGATAAACTTATTTTGGCTCGTTTGGATCGCGTTCTAGCTACTCGTGAATGGTCTGACCTGTTTCCCTGGTGTATGGTTCATCACTTATCAGTTTAAGGTTCGGATCACCATGCCCTTCTCTTATGTCTTAATGATTCCCTTTCTCATTTCCGCCGTTCTTTTCATTTTGATGCCCGCTGGGTGAAAGAAGCGGAGTTTAAACCGTTTGTGGTCAAAGCCTGGACGACCCCTATTCTGAACGCTCCTATGCCCGGTATTCAGAAGCGTCTCCTTCACTGTAAATCCGAGTTACAACTTTGGCGCCGGGGTAAATGCAATAATTCCAAGTCTAATATTCAGCGTCTTGAAAAGGCTTTGACTCATTTAAAAGAAAATGAGACTGGGTATGATAAGGCCAAATGTTTTCAGCTGGAACAGGAGTTAGGCACTGCTTGGCGGGAGGAAGAAATTTATTGACTGCAGAAATCCCGAATAGCATGGTTGAAACAAGGTGACAAAAATACTAAATTTTTTCATCGGAATAATGAGATTTATGGTTTGGAAGATTCTTCCGGTCGGTGGTGCGAGTCCAAAGATGATATCCGTAGGGTTGCCGAGGATTATTTCCAAGACTTGTTTGCTGCCGTCCCGAATATTGCCGATCATGAGTTTTGGCGTTCAGTGAACCAAAAAGTTACTCCGGAAATGAATGCCTTTTTGTTGACGGATAGAACTTTTGATGAATTTTGGTTTACTCTGGCCAGCATAGGCCCCTATAAAGCTCCAGGTCCCGATGGGTTTACCTATTTATTCTTCCAGTCTAATTGGTAAGTTTTGAAAGGGGACCTTTTTCAGGGGTTTAATGATTTTATCCATGGAGTTCCGTTGTCCCAATCTTTGAATTCCACTAACTTGGTTCTGATTCCTAAGGTTTCGCATCCGACTTCTATGTCTAACTTCCGTCCAATTGCTCTTTGTAATGTGGCTTACAAGATTTTTTCTAAAGTGATAGCAAACCGTTTGAAACCTTTGCTCCCCCTTCTTATTACTGAAACCCAGAGTGCTTTTGTGCTGAACCGTCTTATCCATGATAACATTCTTCTTACTCATGACCTTCTCCATGTTCTGAAGTCCAAAACAAGTGGCGACCTTTGTTTTTTGGCCCTTAAATTGGATATGGCGAAGGCCTATGACCGGGTTAATTGGGCTTTCCTGGGCAAGTTTTTATGGTGTTCGAGTTTTGATTCGCGGTGGGTTAATTTGATTATGGAGTGCATTAGTTCTGTGTCGTATTCCGTTTTGATTAATGGTGAACGGGGTGCTGATTTTTTCCCTTCCAAAGGGCTCCGGCAGGGAGACCTATTATCACCGTTTCTATTTCTTTTTTGTACCAAGGGTCTCTCCCTCTTGTTTAATTCTCCCGGTCGGCGTGCTCAGTGTTTGGGTCTCAAGGCAGGGAGTGGTTGTCCTTTGATTTCGCATATCTTGTTTGCAGACGACGCTCTTATGTTTTGTCGGGCGAAAAATGTTGAGGTGCTCCAGATCAAATCTATTCTAGATCGTTATGCAGCCTTAATGGGTCAACTGGTTAATTTTGATAAATCCATTTTGTTTTTTTCTCCCAATACTTCAATTTCTCATAAAGTGGTTTATCGGCGGTTGTTGGGTATTCAAAATGTAGATTGGCAGAATAAGTATCTTGGCTAGCCGTCTTTTTTGGGACGCCCTAAGACAGTTGCTCTTAATTTTTTATCGGAAAAGGTTTCTATAAAGGCTAATTGTTTAAAAGGTTCTCTGTTGTCTAAGGCTGGTCGGGAGGTTCTTCTGAAATCTGTTTTATCGACGATTCCAGTGTTCTCAATGCAATGTTTTCGGCTTTCCAAAAAGAATTGTCAAGTTTTGTCCAGCCAACTTCTTAATTTTTAGTGGAATGGGGTTGAGCGATCGCATAAAATTAAATGGATTAGTTGGGCTGATATGTGTTTACCCAAGGATGGGGGTGGTCTAGGCTTTCAGGAAGTTGAAGCTTTCAATATGGCCCTTTTAGCTAAGGTTGCTTGGCGTATGGAGGTGGGCGACGAGTCTATGTTGTACAAATCCTTCAAGCCCAAATATTTTAAAAATTACAGCTTTGTGGAGTTGTCGTCTCCGTCTTATGCTTCGTGGGTTTGGAAGAGCATTTTTTCTATTCGTGAGTTGATTCGAAAAGGGTTGAAATGGTGTATTGGGGATGAAGCGAAGGTGAACTGCTGGTCTGACAATTGGTCACCGGACTCTCTGAACCAATCTGTTTCTTCTAAGCCTGACAGAGCGAGCTTTTCTTTGGTGGCGAACTTAATTTCCCCTTCCCTTCACTGTTGGAATGTGGAGTTGGTAGACCAGTTTTTTAATCAACGAGATCGTGCTCTTATTTTAAAAACCCCTCTGAGTTTGTTTCGTCGCGAAGATCATAAGGTGTGGGGCGCCTCTCTTAATGGTCGTTTTTCAGTCAAAAGTGCTTACCATCTTGCTTGCTCTCTCTTCCATAAAGTGCCTTCCTCCCCGTCGGAGACAAGTTCTAGTTTTGTTGCCGTTCTGATTTGATGTGGCGAAAAGTGTGGAAGATTAAGGCTCATCGAAAAATCATTCTTTTTCTCTAGTAAAACATGCATGATAGAATTTCGATCCAAACCCAACTTGGGATTAGAGGGGTTCTTTCTTCTTTGGATTGTCCTCTTTGTGAATTGGAAATGGAAACTGTTGATCACTTGCTCTGTACTTGTGCCTTTGCTCAGTTGGTCTGGAAATTATGTTCGCTCCGGATTGTTTTTTTTTTCTCCAGCTCCCACTATTTGGAAAAAACAATGGTTTGAGTTGTGTGATAACTAGTCGCAGCTGGGGACTTCTGACGACTGTAAGAGTTTGGCGGCATTTGTGTGTTGGTCTATTTGGAAGTGCTGCAATGATCTTGTCTTTAATCGGAAACGTTGGGATCCCTTTGATGTTGCTCAGAAAGCGTTTTCGGATTTTCAGGAATTTCAGGAGGTGTCTCGGCAAAACCATCTTCTGTTATTACCGATTTGTCCAGTCCAGTCCTCTCCGGCTGTGTGGCTGCCTCCTGCCTTGGGGTGTTTTAAATTGAACTTTGATGCGGCTTACAACTCTTCTCATCAGATTTATGGAGGTGGTGTTATTCTTCGAAACCATTTGGGTCGTCTTGTTAAAATTGCCACTTTTTTCCTTTCTCATGTTTCTAGTCCTTCTTTGGCTGAAACTTTGGTGTTAAGGGAAGCTCTCTTGCTTCTGAGTCGTTGGGGCTACACGGACGTTTTGGTTAGAGGGGATTGCAAGCCTGTTATGCAACTGTAAGTGAAAGTTGAAGGTCAGGTGGTGCTTTTTTTCTAATATTTGTTCCCTTCTTTCCCTCTGTGTCGGGTCCTCTCTTATGTAGATTCCTCGCGGAGGAAATGATGTGGCTCATCTTTTGAGCATAAAGGCTCTTGTAGCCTAGTACGGTGATTTGGAGTGGAGTATATGGCCCTCGTGGTTGTTGAATGCTCTGCTCCCTGTTTGTACTTCTTCCATTTCTTTAGTGTAATTGTTTGTTGGCGAAAGAGAAAAAAATAAAAAAAATAAAAAAATAAAAATGCTTCTCTCAATAACCCACTATACACGCATAAAAGGTAGGTGTGA